TTTGCTGATAACAACTAAAAAAATTCAAGAAATGATCATCTACTGTACAAACCTTGTCACCTGGATAACTCTAGTCTCCCACCTCCCGGGAAAATCTAAATCAGTGTTATGCTACCTTTAAAAAAAATTGATTTGAGAGCTCTTTCTTTAACCTCACTTCCATCTACTCCTCTCTCTACTCCATTTTCCATCTACACTAAATAAGGGAGACAACAAAAATAAAAGAAAAGCCAAGCTCCAGACAATCTGTCAGCTCCTGTGTTCACCAATTTTTATAATACTTCGCTTCTTTCTTCAAAGTATCCACCATAATTCCTATTCCTAAATCTTCAAACATATCTTGCTTTAATGACTACAGACCAATTGGTCTAACCTTGAAGTTCATCAAACTGTTCACATATCCCCTGTTGGATCTTCACAAGTTTGCCTACTGGGCTAACAGGTTTGTTGAGGACACTGTTAACCTGGCTCTCCATTGTACACTCCAGAATTTGAAGTCAAATTCTTTTTGTCAAATATTTCTTTTCAGCCTTCAACAGCATTAATCCATATAAATTATTTAATACTCTGCCGGATTTGAACATCAACCCTGCTATAGTATGTGTTGTTAAATTCTGGACTTTTGACATGTCGCCAACAAACTGTCAAGATTAATAATAGGCAATAACATCTAGCCCTCTGACTCTTAGTACAGTTACTCCCCAAGGCTGTGTCATATCTCTATAGTTTTTTTTTACCTTTTTACAAACATCTTCACATCTCAGTAAATATTTTTAAATATGCAGTTGATACTATTATTGTTGGCCTAATCTCTGATGAACCTTGCCTTGCAGACTTATCTCTGAAGACTTGCACACCGCAATCATCTAGATGCCATTATTTACATCACACGTTTGCAAATGATCATTGATATTAAAATGTTTGGCATGGTGCATAATGTATGTGAAGGGCAAATTGCAATATTAACAAATTTAATATACCGATCTAAATATAGTGCTGACTTGTATCAGCTACAATGCAATTTACAGCATGCAACAAAGTCAAATACTACTCATAACTTTAAATCTGGATTTAATTTGCTTTTAAATAAAAATTTTAAAACCACTATACACTTTTTATAATCGAAATCTTAAATAACATTTTATGTTTCTAATTACTATTTTTACACAATTACTAATAATTCTGTATACAGTATGCAATTAAAAACATGTTATTCATATTAAATAGTATTGTGACATAGCAAAGTTTTAACAACATCCTATTTCAATAATGTAATCATTGTATTTAATGAAATTGCTTGTCACTAGTATGCATATTGTACAACATGATTAGTGCAGGAAAGCACTATGGTTTTATAAACATTAAAACTGTACCAATTTGTCTGACAAACACATGATTCACTGAACGACAAATCACAATATTAAAATGTCTGTTGTTTTGATTTGTTTATATTGTTTCATTCCATTAAATTATTGATTTCAGAGAATTTCTGTGAAACCAGGTTCAATTCATACCACATTCGTGTTATGTACTGTAATCTTCATTTCAGAAAAAAGGCTGTATAGCCACATTATATTTAAAACAGAAGCTAGGATATACATTTTATCTTTTTTTAAAACATATAAAATGTTATATTTTCAAGTTATATGATTGTTAGACTAAGAAAAAAACATTAATTAAAGCCATAATTTCAGTAACATCCAGTGCATCAAGTGCCACCCATCAATTTTCTATTTAGATATGAAGAGTTGAATTCAACATGCTGTACAGAACTGTAGAATACTACATTGCGATATCCAATGATACAGCCATTCTAGATGGCAGCATTTGTATTGAAACTAAACATTATGTTCATCAGCTTTTATGTTAAACTTCATGGTACTTATTACTAACCAAGCAGGTTTCTAAATGTTTTTTAGAAAACCCAGAGAAATGTGTCACTAAATGTCTTTTGTGACTATAAAACTTCTCACTGAGAGATGAAAAATGGTTTGGGTAAATGCTTCATCTCTGATTTGACTATTTTATAAATGTTGAATGTGCAAAAAATTCAGAAAAAAAACTAAACAATTAACAGAACTAATGGATCCATTATGTGAGGTTTACAAATTTTGATACTGTAAATGCTTAAGAAATGCTTAAGAAATGGAGATTAAAATTAATATTTGTAAATAATACTTTTTGTGCACTTGGTACACAGAATTTACTTGCAAGCAAGCTCATCTTACATTTATAAATATTATGCATAACTGTGTTGTTATGTAGAGCATATTAGAACTATTGTTTGTTATGTTACAAAAGGTTGACCAGCTATATTTTTAATGGGTTATGTACGAGCCAG